CGTATATCCCTTGTTCCCCAACAGTATTTATGACATGAATAGGTTAGACAGAGTGATTAGTAAATTGATATTGACACGAGGGAGCTGGACTTGCAAAGTCTGCAGGAAACTCTCACAGTACACAGTACATGAAAAGCACTTATCCACAGGATCTGATCCATTCCAACATCTATAGACAAATTACAGCTCAACAATGCCGTGTGTGCCTTCAACCGTTTGACCGGCCTCAGCATCAATGTCCAATGTTGGATCCAGGGCTGGTATAATTCAATAATACCGATATCAGAACATTTAAAGGGGCCTGATTTAGACAGTGAGTCGAATTTGGCATCTTATTTACATAATTGAACTTGTATGTTAATATTATTCATGTTTTTATACATTTTTTCATCATATATTGTTGGATATTTTTAGTCTTTAGTCTTGTTAAAGGCGATAGATCGTGGTTAGGCTTGTTTGCTAGTATGGGTTTGGGGATAGTCTTTATATCGATGCGGGTTTGAGTCAGTGTTAAAATTTACATATTTCATTTCATTTCACTACCAGAGATCATATGATATCTCCCTCAAACTACATAATGAACACTGATATTTTCCCACGCACTGTCAGTCCCACCTTGATATCTCATTTCAATCCCAGAGATCATATGATATCTCCCTCAAACCACATAATGAACACTGATATTTTCCCACGCACTGCCAGTCCCACATTTACCCCCATAACAGAGATAGCGGCTATATCATGTTTTCAGCTAACCGGTTTGATCTGGCACGATCCGCTATATCACGTGACCGTGTGTGAATATTTATATCACTTCTTTATGATGACAGAGTTAAATACTGCTTGTCAGTGTCGCTATTTGTTGAACTATTTCAGGCAGTATCTCGGCAGTCGGCATGTACGGATAAGAAAAGTATAACTATTCAAATTATAATTATTTTACTGATGGTATATTCAGTATATTTACAGGACAACTCGTTTAACATTGAAACTTTAAAGGTCACATAAACCCTAGGGGGTAAAATACATAAATCACTAACTGGCATCGTTATAAATGCAACCCGTCATTAAAACTACTCTATTTCGACCTTTAATTGACTTAAATCGACCTTTTTGACAACAGTGCACAATTCTCACCCGCGAACGAAATTTCAACCAATCAGAGCGGCGCGACTCTGTGACGTCATATGAGGAATAGCTTTGAGGGCCGATGCAGAATACATCTACATTTTAGGGTTAAATTATCTTGTTTACAGGCTTGTATAAACCTGAAATCGTGACAATTGTGGTGGAAAATGAAAGCTATATGTTCTTACAATCTACTGGCATTAAATTGTGTTTCCTGCTTTGCCTAGTTTCCGAGGTACAACTTGTTTTCATAGACGCTTCTGTCACAATTGATTGGTGTCGTTAGGCCCTATTTGTATAATGACTGATCCAAATTGATCCCATTTCTGTGTTTTTACCTCGATATTTAATCATGTCATGTGTAAAATCTGTTTGTATTCTCAAAACAGTGTCGGCCCATAAGTTTTCACATGCAATACAGCAATTAATACTCCCTTGTTGTAACCCGTGTTAGGTGGTATAAACCTACACATGTTATTTGTCATCATTCACTTGATGGTCAGTTAATGAATTTATAACAGGTATAATTAGTGGTAACACACTTAGATTACCCGACAAAGGTTCCCATTTGGCATTTCTTGTGTCTGGAGTAAATATTCAACATTATGAACATCGATCAAAGGATTAACCGATAACACGCTGATTGATTAATTACTTTTATCTTACACAGCGGAATTGTCAAAAGGTAGACTAAGTGTTTATGTATGTAGATTTACTAATTTATACTGAATACACTCTGCCGTGTCGGTGTCTGCGTAAAAACAACGTCCTACTTTCAAAGGATTAACCGGCAATACATTGATTGATTGCCCATCATTGGCTAACTAAATTACTGTTTTAATGAAAGGCGGACATTATGCAATTAGTTGCCAGGTGTGCTATCTTGGGTGACCAATGAGACTATACACCAATACCTGAAAAGATTTTATCACTTTTTCGTATATTAAACTGTTAAAAGACACATCATTTGGAACAGTTTTGTGGATATTGATGGATACATTCCTCAAACAAGGTAATGGCCTGATATTGTTCCTCTAACTTTAATCTGTTTTAATTTTAATATTTGCATTTTGTTTTTTAATCATTTGTCGTAGCATTCAACAGAATCATTGTTTTCGCCATGAAGTGTAATGAGACAGACAACATACACTAGGAATTGTGTGTGCGAATTATGATTCACATTGGCAAACTATAAAATGTCTAGATATTACAGTTCTGTTATAAATTCACTATAAGTATCAGCAGATCGTCAGCTTTTATTTAGTTTCAAAATGCATAAAAGTATGATAATAAACTAATTAGGATTATAAGACCAAATATAAAGACGCACATTGACTAGTATCTACATACTGGTGAGTGGACATTAACCATGTGAATGTAGCAAGAAATTTATCGCGCAGTATTGTGACTTCGACCCCCACCTCGCTTCCGTGGAAGAAATCGTTATGTTATAAGTTGTGTCATGCAAAACCCCTTTGGTTATGATTCCAATACATATTTAACTACGAGTAGAAAGTAGTTTTGATTTTCTATCTTGATGAAAACAAACTATAATCTCATTAATTCTAACAGACTTTACGATTTTCCGGGAACATCCGCCAGTCTGTGGATAAATGCTATTTAGGTTTGTTTTCAACGAGTTCTAAAAATCAAAACTACTTTCTACTGGTAATAAAATATATATTTTATATGATAGCCAATAGGATTTTGCATGACATATAGCATATAACATAACAATTTCTCTCCTGGCAGCGAGGTGGGTGTCAATATAATACTACTTACAATATTATTGTTACTTCCACCACAACCTCACTTCCGAGGAAGAAATCGTTAATGTTACAAGTTGTTCCGAGGGAAGAAATCATCAATCATATGCATATTTTACTATAACTAGTAAGTAGTTTTATTCTGGAAACTTCCGTGAAGCGATTGAACACAAGTAAGATATCGTTTCAGGCTTCCACAACATCGCTTCGCACTCACAAACATAACCCATTTAGCACGAACTGTAGGATCCTGTGGAAATCTTTGATTCATCACCCGACCCTAGAGCAATTGACGACAAAGTGATTCGGCATGTCGTCGTTCATGTCGAGAAATCATCAAGTATGAGGGTGCTACACACTTTCTTACAACTAACTGAAAATCGTTCCTCATATGACGTCACTGCAGTGCTCTGGCGACAGAGTTACGTAACCCGTCTGTGGTTTGGCGGGCGAGAGGGAAGCAGGCGACTTTTGGCCACTTTAATCGCTCGGTATTAATTCTACAAGTTTTAAATAATAAACACCATTGTTCCGCATAAGACTAACGCCACAAATCTTTCATATGTAATGGTTAAAAGAGTAACAAAAACAAAGTTTAGTTTAAGACCTGTGCACTGTAAATGGAATCTTTACTCATTTGTTTTCTTGTTGAAAGAAGAACCAAGAATATACGCCCTTAGTTAGGAACGTCAGGTAGGTATTGTCAATAGGTCAATTCAATTTCTTTTTAATTAACCACCTCCATTTACCAGTGGATAGAATTTCATTGAGATGGTGGAAGGTTAAAAGAAAAAGACGTGAAGACTTGTCTCACGAGGTCCTGCCTATCCAGGGGTCCAAAACTTCAAAGATGGATGACTGAACACCAAGCAATTCCATACGAAATGAGAAAGTCCCCTCCAGTATTTTATGGAATCTGTTCTTAAACATTATGTAAATTTAATGCACGTCATCAGTCATCACGCACGCCCACTGCCTGTTGTGTTAGGATGAAAAGTTTGAACCGCCAACATACGTTGCTTTTATAATTGTGTTATAATTCATAGATTTATAGAATACACTCCTGAATAGATCTTCAAAGTTGAATGACATGTGCATTGAATTTACATAACGTTTAAGAACAGATTCCATGAAGTATTGGATATCACACGAATCGTGTCTCATTTCAACACACCTATAAACAACAAGTCAAGCCAAATGTAAATCGTATCATGCTATTTGTATAGCTTTCATACAATAAACAACTTGACCTGACTTTACTATAAATACCAACGTGGTTCAACATTAAAATACAAGCAAAATAAATATTAAAGGTCGCATTGTTGATGACTGGTCTATATAACACAGCCCCCACTAGCCAACTTCCGAGTCTGCCCAGACATTTCCAGGACGTATCGCCAAGTTGGAGACCAGCTCACGCACAGGGTGTTTATCCAATAGCTAGGAATTATCCGATAGCTTTAAAATCACGGCCATCAGTATTTTTATTGGTCTTGAAAGCGTGTGCGTGAGTATTGTTTTACGTCACTGTTACCAATTTATCCAGCAATATTACGGAGAAGGACATGTTGTACCCATGTGGTGAAACTCTCCGGGGTATTGGGCGTGCGGAGAGGACGATTTAATCTCAAATAATCTCCAGAGCCATAGTCTGAAAATAAGATTTTAGGTGGTCAAATTCTTGATTTGGTCAATTCTTGATCAGGTGGTTGCCCGGATGTTTGGTCACGGGTCTGTCTTGCCAATACTTGCTTCATTTGATTACACAATCTCTCGAGGTTCACGAGCACTAAATAAAACTTTGTTTCCACCCGGCGTGATATCACAGCTAAGAATGTCCATTTGTTTGTCGAAACACACAGGTACAACATAGGAGGTCGCTGTCAAGTCATCAACGTAGCAGTGATGACGTTGGGGAGGTCAGTTTGGGTCTGCGTCGTTGTGACATTTGTTCTGTTCGACAGTTTATCGTTCGATCGGGATTTTGAATCAGAATGCCAAAAGATCTGTTCCGATAATCTTAAAAGAGATGGCTGTTGTCCCGAGATCTCATGCAAAGGTGACATTTTAAGTAGCTTAATACTGAATACAGGCTCACCACTTGAAATGATCCATTCATGCCCGGATGAAACTCAAGGTGAACTTAGGAGTCTCTGTGTTGACCGATATGGCTTATCCGATCTGGAGTCCGTCATGCCAGTGACGTCAGACGGCGTGACATTCTTCAACAAGCACTGTGCAGCCTGCTATAATGTTTCTTCTTACTACAAGTGGTCAGTAAATATCAGCTGTACTGCCCATGTAAGTCTAGATACCTTACGGACCAAGCAAGAGATCGTCAACATGGGGATAAAATCCGGGCACTGTGAGGTCAGGCTTCAACAACCTGTCACTGTTCGCTGCATTGCATGTAGTACCCCAGGCCAGCAAGACACTGATGATATATCTATCGACGACCTGTCTGGTTCAGTTTTGGCCTCTCGACCAGATACGCCATATTCAATCATCCTACGTATCCTAGGTGACGAAACTGAAGATGAGGTTCAATTCCCACTTGATGTGAAGGGAGATCAGTCCACGTGCACTAGAAACCAGTGGACACATAATTTTACGGTAAGATTTTGAATATATTCATTCACTTTATTTTATCAAATGTAATTGAAGATTCGGTTATGGTATCCGGTTTACACCACTTTACGAGAACCACAGTTACCTTTCCCCATTAGTATTAAGAAGAATGGTGGTAACGTGTCAATTCTCAGTACATACACGACAGTGAAGACCTCCAAATTATATATTACTTCCAAATTGTTGACATAATAAACTATATAGAACTTGTCCTATGACGGTAGTATTTAAAACAAAGGTATTCTCCAAAAGAGCCAACGCTTATTAGCCAACATTCTACCGTATTCTTACAGTTACCAATAGTTGTTCATTTGTGGTTTTCTCGTTTTTCAGGATTTGTGTTTCGATGTCCACTGTTTCCAAGGAAAGACTTTGGTTGGCAGCTCATGCACGTCTCTTATTGCAGAAGGGAAAGGTCTATTATACCGCTACTCAATCAAACTTGAATCCAAATACGACCCACAAAATGATCTGTGTGAAATGGATGAGAGGTTAAAAAGACGTGTTTATGAAATAGCTGAAAGTTTACAAACAGACTATTTCAGATGTGAAATTTTCCCCAGTTTCACAACAGACGGTTCTGAAAACTATTTGAAGGTTGTGTTGATGTACCAGATCACATTGACCAAACCCATGGATAGAGATGTGTTTGAGGAACGAGCGCTTAATCTGACAAAGGAACCTTGGAATATGACCTGTGGGGAATCCGTGATGCAGTTCAAGGTCAATCTTGTTTCTTCTTCGTCGCCCGAAGCTACTCGAGCACTGGTTAAGCCCGATCCTGGAGACAAATTACCCGTGTCCCATCAGACCATCACTATAAACAATCCCGAATACAAATTATACATAACGGAAGAGAATTCTTACATAAATATTTCCCCTGTCATGGTTTGTCAGTTTGTGGTATTTAACTCAAGCTCATACACACGTAACCCGACTGGAGATATCCGCCTCACTGACGGAAACGTGTCCCTTCAACCTCACGAATTCGACCTCGCCGACGGGGATGCACGTGTGTGTGTTGATGTTCTGACTAGCAGATACGACGCTTTGACAATACCTAAGCGGGTCAATATCCACGGAGTTGTTCGGCGGTATTTATCCTATGTGTGCGTGACTCTGTCTTTGGTAGGACTTGCTACCACTTTCACTGTATACATGGTGTTCCCGTCCCTCAGAACCCTCCCTGCCAAGAACAACATCTGTCTGGTGGTTAATCTGTTCCTTGCACAGTCTCTCCTGCAGTTCGGCGGCGTCAGGAGAACAGAGAATCCTACATTTTGTGCAATCCTGGGGATCCTCATCCACTTCTTCTGGTTGGCGTCTCTCTTGTCTATGAACGTGTGTTGTTTTCACATGTACAGAGTGTTCAGCAGCAGGACGTTGACCGCTATGCCAAGACACTTCTCTTTGAGACGACTTGTGAAATACATTGCCTATCCGTACACAGTTGCCACCTTCATAGTAACTTCCACCATAACGTCACAATACATCACCAGCAATGGCAGCAGCATCGGATACGGTGGAAGACACTGCTACCTGTCTTCACCGTTACTAATAAGTTTAGCCTTTGCCCTGCCTCTAGGCGTCATCCTGCTTCTGAACGGAATCATGTTCTGTCGGGCTGTTCGTTCCATAGCGCAGACCAGCCTCATTCAGAGAGAGGCTATGGTAAAGGGTAGACACAACTTGCATGTGTACATCAAACTTTCAACGCTGACAGGACTATTCTGGATTGTGGGGATCCTAGCGGAGGTGTTTCCCCTAGAGGTTCTCGCTTACCTCTCCATCATTTTGAACGGAAGTCAGGGCGTCTTCATCTGCATTGCCTGCGTCTTTAACAAGAGAGTCCTCCACCTAGCTGGTTGTACAGGGAAACTGCCGGGTCAGACCACTAGCTCGGACAAATCAAAAACACGCACCAAGAGTACATTGGCGAATGACTTAAAATGAATGAAGAAAAGTGTATTCTAAACAAGAATATGTTTTAAATGTATTCCCTTTCTAGAATGGTTGGCAGATATAGACAATTGCACAAAGAAAGCAGGCATGGACAGAAGATCCGACTCTGGGAGTCTCTGACAACTGAACGTTACTGATTTTGCAAAGTCATGCTATACATAATTACACATTGTAATATGATAAGCTGCACGTGAAAACGTCGTTTGTATAGGAATTTGCAATACACAAATGCTGAGTCTCTGATTGTGTTTTCTGCGTTAAATATTTAATAAGCAATGTATGTAGAATATGTGTTATCCGTGAACCAAAACATGGCATTACAGTATTATCCTATCATTATCATCATTATCTGAGTGAGTGAGTGATTGATTAAATTAAGCTTAACGCCGATCTTACAATAATGTTATATTACGGCATGATAGCTCAGTGTAGGAGAGACGCATGTCATCGGCGGGACACATAGCTCGCGTTCTCGACGTGACACGTTGAACATACACACCATGTGTTCTCGAGGAGGCACATATATACAACATGGATAACACGTGTCATCGGCTAGACACATAGCTCGCGTTCTCGACGTGACACGTTGAACATACACACCACGTGTTCTCGAGGAGGCACATATATACAACATACATACGATGATGATGATGATGATGATGATGATGATGATTTTTATGGAGTAGCATGTACAATGTAAAATAGCCCCCCTAAAATTTATGTTCAAAGTAAGTGACCCCCTCGGCCTCATACCACCCCCACCCCACCCCACCCCCCTCCTTTCATGGCATGTACAAAATCAATGACACCCCCACCTCCTCTTCTCATAACTTTTAATCATAATTTTTTAATAGTTATATGTACAATTTTGCTGACCGATTATGTACGAAATGACCCCCTACAAAATGGGTGGCCTCCCCTTACAATCAGCATCACCACACACACACACACACACACCCCACACACACACCCCACACACACATACACACTTCTTGAATTATGGAGCTTGCTCGTTGTATAATATCCCAAAAAGAAACGCATAGGTGTTTTGTATTATTTAAAATCTATTAACTACCTTTTGTGCTCAATCGTCAAAATATGTAACAAAAGTGTTGATAATATGAATTTATAATTACACAATTGCACAAGTAAAAAAATCAACTTTACCTGAAAATGTTGATTTTGATGAGATTTCTTACAAAGATTAAAAAGGCATCGCCACAACGCAACCGAAATCACCTTCCAGTTGAAATTGTGCTGCAAAGAGCATGCACTGTCTTACTTTAAATATCCAGTTTACCTTCGGAAATCGGCATTCGTTTTGAAGGAGTTTCAAGGTCAAATCACTTCGCCACGTCTTGACTCTGCGACACGAAACATCGCCATTGAAAGAATGCACGCTGGAGATTACCAATCTTCTGTTGCCAGGCGTCTGAATTTTAATCTGAGCCCGATATCACGGCTTGCAGCTCGTTACAACCAAACCGGTATAACAAATGACCGTCCTCGTACGGGCAGAGCTTGAGTCACCACTGCAGCCAAAGATCGGTACTACATTTGCGTGTTTGTACTGCCACAGGTGAGAGCACAACAGCTAGGGTGCCCTCTTCTATACCGATGTAAATATTCATGTACTAAAGTCTATTTGTGGACCAGTTATACCTGTTTGAAAATACAGCATTTTCGCAACAGAGTTCTGGCCTATGCGTTTCTTTTTTGGGGAAAGTATATATTAATGTATTATAGCTGGTTCAAAGCTGGCGACTTTGTGTATCGGATGGTCAGGCCAAGTGGCTTGATTACGTGTCATAATTGTAGGCCCACAGCGTCAACTATGCTCCTAATATCAACCATGGGATTGTGCGATACAGAATCATGTATAAAGCCGAGAATTTATAGATGTCAATTTCTAAATTCTGAGTGTTGCAGTAAACAACTTGCAAACAACCCACCTATATGAAACCAAGCATTGCAGTGAAGAGCGCCCAACATTCCACCCAATCGCCAGAGGAACACCCAACACTCCAACCAATCACCAGAGGAGCACCCTACGCTCCACCCAAGCACCCGAAGAGTACCCAACACTCTACCAAAGCACCAACACAAATCACTGAACGTATTGTTTTGCCAAGTCTCAAGGAATATCTGAAATGTGCAAACTGAATGTTAAATCAATAATTTCCTTTGTATGATCAGACATTCTACTGAACCGGGGTTTTCTTCCTGGGACATCGTGTAGTCTGAGAACCGTCTTGTACGTTAGAATTGGATTTCTGTAAACCTACGTTTGTGAGGGTAGACTAACGTAATCGGGTGGTCTGACAGCGTTGATTCGTGGATCCTTTCCCAGTTCCGTAGATCGATGCTAATGATGTCTATCACTCGACTGTCTGGTCCAGACTAGATTATTCACAAGTCCCGTTATACTTGCTGAGAGTGGCAACTGACAAAATGTGTCCGTGTTGAAGCGTACGCAATATACCACTTCAGCCACAGATATTTGTATTCGCAAGGTCAGGTTATATTTTTGATTCCACGAAACATAAAATCATTTCATAAGGGCTCCTTGCCTAAAGTGAGTGAGTGGGTGAGTGAGTGAGTGAGTTTAGTTTTACGTCGCTTTTAGCAGTATTCCAGGAATATCACGGCGAGGCTTGACGAGCGAACGCTTTAACCACTAGGCTACCCCAACGTCTTCCTTGCCTAAAGGGCAGGAGACCTGTCGTAATCGTACGGATTATAAGCATTTTGTTCCAAACAATAGCTCCAAAACCTGAAGTTGTTACTGCAAATATCTCAAGGTTCTAGACTCAAAGGCAAAGGGCAGATAATTCCAAAGTAATTCAATATTTCAATTTCCAAAGCAATAATCGCAGAAACTACATGTTCAATGACTACAAAATTTCTGGTGCAGGTACGGAATCCGATCTCATTCAATTTCAAGTTCAGGATCCATGTGGCTGAAAGACATGTTTTTCAACAGTTTTTTCAATACTTTGTTCCCAAAATGTGCTGCGCTCAAACTATCAACTCCAGAGCTTCCCAAACTGTCTTGAGTCAGTGTTTATTTTTACATACTTGATTTCATTTTCTATTGGTTGAGATCTCATGTCATGAGATCATATGATTTCTCCCTCAAACAACATAATGAACACTAATATTCTCCCACGCACTACAAGTCCCACTGATTATCTAACCTTAGACCTTTGACCTTTCCCACATAACATAGATAGCAGCAATATACGACAAAAGCCGGTTTGATCTGGCTCTGGAAACGATTCATCATATCACGTGATCATGTGTAGACATATATATAACTGCTTTTGATGACAGAGTTAAATAGTTCGCTGTGTCGCTGTTTGTTGAGCTATTTCAAGTAGTGATTCGGCATGTACGCATAAGAAATGTATAACTATTCAAATTATAAGTATTATAATGATGGCATATTCAATGTTTACAGGACAACTTGTGCAACATTGAATGTTTTAAGACCAGTGCACTGTAAAACGAAGCTTTACTCATTTGTTTTCTTTAAAAAGAAAAACCAAGAATATAAACACCTTTAATTGGAATGTCACGCAAGTATTGCGAATAAATCAATTCCAATTTTGTTGTTATTGACTACATCCATGTACTAGTGGAAAGAGCATCTTTCCGATGGCGGAAGGTAGGTGGGCCGTTCGATCAAAAGTAAAAGACGTGAAGACTTGTCTAACGATGACCTGCCTGCCTGCCAATCTGTCAATTAGGCCATTATCCAGACAATTTTTTGGCACCACTCAGGGGGACCAAACACCTTTATGTTTTTGGAAGTGGTTCTGGTATTTACATAACAAAAATATATAATGACCATGACTGTTTGGTAGCTCAAACTCAGAACCAGGCTAAATTCAACATGGCCGTCAAAACCCCAAAAGTTTCAAAACATGTCAATTCCAAGCTTTAATCATGAGTAAAGTTCAGTAAATAGGTTGGAAATGAAAAAGAGATGTAAATGGTGCTAACATGATTAGAAAGATTTAATTAATAGCAAGCTGTGTTACTTGATACCTTTAAATCATATTTTTCTTGGTTTTGTAAGAGTCAAAATTGTAAGTACAAAGAACGTTTTCAAAAACTTATCATTTAATTTATTCTGAAGACAGGTCTTTAATTTCAAAGAGTGAGAGCACCTTCAAGTTCCTTAATTTGTGTAGTGATAGTCACTGTTCCGCATCATAAACATCAGCTTCATCAGTGTCACTCTTTGGCATGTCATCGGTCAGTTGGTAAGGCACTGACAACTTGGCAGTTTACAGACTGTTGTGCACTTGCAAGAAATGAACTCAAGAACAGCATCTGGACCAAGAGGTCCTGTCATTCAGTCAAATCTCTACGTGACCATTTTCTTCCACCCAACCATGACCATCTGTTGCCCGTGGAGTTGGATATTCAGCTTCCAGAGATTTGCTCCATATTGCAGCTTGATAGTTTGCTCTCGGGACATACATACATAGACAATCAAAGCAGGGTGGAAATTGTTCTCATTCAGTTGCCCCTTTTCTCACTTCAAATAAATGGTAGCACAATTTACGGACATCCCTAGTTGTTGGAAAGACTTTTAATCTTATGGAAGAACCTGAGGCATACAGGTGACATGTGAATGCTTGAAGTGAGTCAATCAAACCTGGTGGCACAGTCAACTCATTCCCAACATGTTTGAAAGCCTCTTGATATTCCTTTGTTGTTGAAACCGGTTTTGATTGATATAGAGAATAAGCACGACAGGACACCTGGCCTGTACAATATATGTGGCTAATGGAAATGGGGTATGACAGAATGGCAATACACCCAGTAGGTACCCAGATTGAACTCCTCATTATAGTAAATAAATTGATGAGATGTAGTAAATGGATATTACATGATTTATATTACTACAGATTGTAGGTATATTATTGGCCATATAATATAATACATTATATTATTATTGAATAAACTGTGACTTCACTTTC